ACTTACCTGTGGCGCCATCGCTCCAGCTCCATCTTCGTGCTACCTGCATCAAGGCGCCAACTTCACAGGTTAGTACTGGACAGAGAGAGAGAGAGAGAGAGTTCTTCTTCTTCCTCTTCTAAGTCCACCTTCTCTTCCCACCCTCTCGCCACCTGACTTCTCAGACTACGACAGAGAGAGACAGAGTTGTGACTGGAGACTTGACGACATTGGATCCAGACTTTACATTTGGGATTCAGACAGTTCGACGAGGGACTATTTGGGCTTGTGCCGAAGACTTGGTGTTGACGACATTCCCATCTTCCCCCTCCTCTTCGTCTATCCCCTTCCTCTTCGTCTGTGTATGGTACGGGCTGGCGCTGTTTTCCTGTGTGAAGCGCCAAGCCCATTCACACCATGTAACGATGATGATGATGTATGTTCAGGGCTGCATTACAATATTGATTGTTCGGATCGCTGGTATCTAAGTCTTCCATTGTGCTATCTTATACTTTGTATTGAAAGGTCCGTTCTTGTTCTGGTTTGCACGTTACAGTATGCAACAGTGGCAGTCCCCAAGGCCCAACGATCAGGGTGGCATCCTGTCCTTCTGGTCATCCCGAGGATAAGCGAAGTCCATTGCTAGTGTAAATGTTCCCTAACGCCTACCAGTGATGGGCACAAAACGCCCCCTAAGTGACCTCAGGCACCCTCCAAAATGTCCCCTCAGTGATGTCAGGCTTGATGGGCACAAAACGTCCCCTCAGACAAGTACACTGTGGGGCAAAGGACGAGGCCTTGAGATATCATTTCGGAACTGACCCTTACCTAGGGCACACTCACTCTTGAATTTCCTTTATGAAGATGTGGATGTTTTTGCAGTCTAGGCCTGGTGGTAATTGCAGTCAGATTCATTCTGGAAACTGCGCGTGTGAGTGTGCACTTCTTCCATCTTTTTTTATATTTTTTTGGGGAAAACATCCATAAGAGTCCAGGTTTGTAGTAGGGACCCCGCAGATTGAAGGCTCCGGTATTATTCATGGGGAGCAGCGCATGCTGGGAACCGGGCCCAGTGTCCCATAGTTATAAACAGTCAGTTGACATATGCCACCAATTGGTTTCTCACAGCCCTGATGCTAGCGACTATATCTTGTCTGTTAACTAGGTTATTGTCTGTGCTTCGGTGTTTCCCTCGCCTTGTACCAGGAGGCCCACTGCAAATGTAGAGGCTTCACCATTTATTGCTGTGAGAACAAGCCCTCTAGAACCCGCTGCCTGGCAAATGTAGAGGTTTCACCTGCGAGCAAGTCCTCTAGAACCCGTTGCCTGGCAAATAGCTGCTGTGCTCCGTGCTTGTTATTGGCTTCGCACGGCTGGGTGCCCCGTCAGGCACTCCTTGTCAATAATCTCCAAGCAGCAGACTCATGAACATGACGTTGAGGATGCCAGTCTGCCTGTAACCCAAGGGTATGGAGACTAGGGGAGAGTGGGGAAGACGGAGGAGGGGACGAGGAAGCGGGGGTGGCGGGGGAATTGGGGACGGGGAAGGGGGAGCAGCAGGAGAAAGGGGGGGGGGGGGGGGGGGGGGGGGGGGGGGGGGGGGGGGGGGGGGGGGGGGGAGGGGGGGGGGGGGGGGGGGGGGAGCGGGGAAAAGGGGGGGGGGGGGGGGGTGTTGTGTTGGTGAAGGTGGGGCTGTGAGAGGGGTGGGCTACTTGAGCCCCGGTAAGCGGGATGCGGTTAGAGAGGGTGGGAGACTTGGGGGAAGGGAAGGTGTTAGGCGGATCTGTTGGTAAAGGGGGCGTTGGGGGTGCGCAGGGGAGGGGGAAGGGGAAAGAAGGTGTTGGCGAGGGGGAAGAAGGTGTTGGTGAGGCAGGGACTGTTGGGGGTGAGGCTGCTCGGTCCTCAGGAGGGGGAGGAGGTGGCGACGGGACAGTTGCTGGAGGGGGTGGTTGCGGTCGGGGGGGAGTCTGTCCGTAGGGCGGGCTGGGGGTGGGCACGATCCTGGGAGACTGACTGCTAGGGGATGATGTCCAGGTAGAGGAGTCTGGAAGCAGTTGTCAGTCCTCAGGGGCCAGCTTTCTTCATGAGCCAACCAATTCTTCCAGACCATTTTCCTGTCCGTCATCAGATTACACAATTGTTTGTGAGGTTCTACCCTTAAGTCCATAAATTCCTGCAACATCTGCTGTCATTTTGCGGGGTCGGGAACAGAGAGCAGTTAGTCAGTTAGTCTTTTTGCTGCTCTGAGAATACTGATGTGCATGACTTCCGCAACAATTTCAGCCTTTGCTTGGCGGAAGCCAAAGGAGAACTCCTTTTGTTCAGCTGCACACCTCATCCTCCAGATCGACATGAGGACTAGTCGGTCTAATCCGGTATGTTGAAACAGGCTTGTCTGAAAGGCTGTCCAAGATGGGGGATACTCCTTTTTTGACCCAATAAGATGAGTTGGACAGAGTGCATCCCACCATTTTTAGACCTCTAGTGCCATGGGACAGGCTAGCAAGCAGTGCTCCAAATCTGCTCTTTGGCATTGTGAAGACAGGCCACATTGGGAGCAGATAGGCGACAGAATGCCGTTATGTTCCACATTAGATTGATCAGTGACCCAATCGGGTGTTGGAAGGCACTTGTGGACAATCTCCCACTGGAGGGCCTGGTGGGATATGGGCATGACGTGCATGTATGCTGACCACCTGATGTCGGTAAGGTTCTGGCTGAGTGGTCACGGTGACATCTGTTCAGCATGACTGGTGTAAAATGGCGCAGATTGTCAGCCTGTTGTACCCTGCTTTCGCTGTGTACTGCCAGACGGGGAGTGGTGTTGGTACAGGCCACTCCCATTCGGCCGGATCAAAGGGAAGGACACACACGGGAGTGGTCATCTCGTATGCAACGTAGCCCTCATCCTCATCCCCTACAACACTGATCCTGGTGAGGCGACACAGCAGTTTCCAGCAGTCCAGGTTCTTGACTCTAGACAAGTGGACCCAACGCGATCCCGGCAGATCGGGTGCATATGATTGCAGCACCGCCTCCGTAACGGTCGCCTGGGATACTCGGTAGATGGTCATAGGAATGGGACCCGTGTCATCCATGGTGACCCAATCCACTGGTAGGATAGTTGACCCTTGCTTGAGGGCAGCGATCCAGAGCAGGGGGACTGCAGCTTGTAATCTGTCCACTTTGGCAGTTAGGTGCTTTATATTTTTCAGCAGCAGACAGAGCTGTTGAGCTGTTCCACACCACTGGTGTAGGTCCTAGAGGTCCCCAATCGAGAACAGTCCTGGCTGAGCCCACCTTAACAAGTGAGAATCAGCAGTGATGGCGAAGGGGTGGCCATTAGCAGCGAGAATGTGCAGGTTTCCAAATAGAGGTTGGTGCCCATTCTTTGTACCGTTTGGGTGGGGGGAACTTCTTGGTGAACCCCATTTCACGCCATCGGAGTACTATATTCATCCACAGGAGGTCGTGTTTAAGGTTCCCCCTGGTGACTTGCCGAGCTGTGGCTTGTGGATGAGATCTCGGGGGATCCGGGGTAGACCAACAGGGGGCTGAGGCATTCCAGTGGGAGTACAGTTCTCTCCAGGGGGGTGGGGGGGGCCAGGTTAGCAAGCTGGATGCATGCCAGCGGTATCCAAGGAATCTTCCCGGAAGCAGCAGTCGTATAACCACTTTACTTTCATCACCCGGATCTAAAGTCCCCAGGCCTCCAAGTTTCTTGAGCTGGGTGATATATCTCCAGTCACCCTTTACTGTGTGTTTGTTCAGGCTGTGACTGCTCTACGGAGTTCAGCAAGGTGTTTTTTGGGGGATGTGTGAAAAGGCGATCTTGTACAAAATGGCGGCCAGAATAGCATTGTCTATTGCTAGGGCTGGCTCCCTGCAATTGACCAAAAAATACAATATTTGTAAATGCTAAATGTAGTAGAAAGCATTGTCTATTGCAAGGGCTGGTTCCTTGCAATTGACTAAAAAACACAACTTTTGTAAATTCTAGAATTGAAAAGAAAGACGACGAAAAAGACTAAGCAATACACACGAAGCAAGCAAGACTTCATTTTAAAGTCCGTTTGGAGGATAGTAACAGGCCATATGAAAGGGCCTTCTAGAGTCCGTGGGCTAAAGACCTAGGCCTACTTCACATCCCAAGATAGCATGCTTATGATCATTCTGCAGCACACCATTGAGAGGATTCTCAGCTTCGGTGGTTCCACCTTCGTGACGCCGAAGAAAAGTAGAATAAGTAATACATCGAAGCAAGACTTCAATTAAATGTTGGTTCGGGGGATTGTGAGAGGCCATATGAGAGGTCCTTTTAGAGTCAGCGCGCTAAAGGCCTGGAAATATGTCACATACCTTGGTAGCATGCTTATGATGATTATGCAGCACACCATTGAGAGGATTCCCAGCTTCGGAAGTTTGATCTGCTTGACAGTTATTCTCTTGATTATAATTCTCCTGTTCCTCATCACCGCGATCACAAACTGCCTCAGAGCCAGAGTCTCGAGTGTCTCGTAGCCTCTCCTGCTCCATGCTGTGAGCTATGAAGCCCTCAACATGGGAGCTCACTCGCAAAACACTTTCAACAATCCATTCACACCGATCGTTCTCTGCAGGCAGACCTTCGAGCGCAAAGCGCCTCTTTTGCTGGGTCTTGCGCTTTTTACAATTCCAGATCTTGTTGTACCTCGCACACTCAGTTTCCTGCTCCTCATTCCAGGGTGTATGAAGTTCTTGGGCCTCTGTATCCATCTCTTGCGCTGGCCTCTTACCGGACTCTCCTTCCCCTGCCCTGTCACAATTAAGGATTTCCATGTCTGATGAGAGGGCAGCATGAACATGACTTGTACCCGTCCGCCTCCTTTTAGACCTGGTATCGGGAAGGTTGGTTTGAAGTTTTTGGGCCTCACCATGCACCTCCTTCTCTGCCCCCTGGCTACAACGTCCTTTCTCTGCCTTACCACCATTACTTAGCCGCCTCCTTTTCCTTCTTGATTGCACATCGTCTGCAGATGTATGAAGTTCCTGTGCCGCACCATCCATCTCTTTCCCCACATCCTCATCAGACCGTCCTTTCTCTGCATCAGCGCCATTCAGATTCTCTGCTTTCTCCTGTACTTTCCTTTTTTTGGTTGGTCCTGGGCGTCGATGACCGAAAAATTCAGATAGTCGTTGCAGGCTTCTCGTGACCACCTCCCAGATCAATCTTACGCCATCCTGCACATCTGCGCAGCAGCTAGTGAGCAGCATTGTCTGAATTTGTCTCATGATTTCGAGTTCAACTTAGTTGTGAATAAAGTACAATGAACAATGCACGAAACCAAAGAGAATGTGAGAACCTTCAGTTATGGAGAAAAAAGTTTTGAGGACATCATGTGCCTGCACTGCAAAAGGCATGGACAAAACAGGACACGTCTCTTATACACATCTAGATGTGTATAAGAGACAGGCAAAAGGCATGGACAAAACAGGACAGGAGTTTGTGCAGCTGCTTGGCACTGCTTCCTGGGCCAACAATGCACGAAACCAAAGAGAATGTGAGAACCTTCAGTTATGCAGAAAAACGTTTTGAGGACAGCATGTGCCTGCACTGCAAAAGGCATGGACAAAACAGGACAGGAGTTTGTGCAGCTGCTTGGCACTGCTTCCTGGGCCAATATGGCCATAACAGCGGCATCAGTAGACTGCAACTAATACTACCTGTAGTCGTAATGGTAGTGGTGGTAGTGGTGGTAGTGGTGGTAGCAATGGTAGGAGTCGTGGTAGTGGTACTAGTGGTAGCATTGGTAGGAGTGGTAGGGGTTGTAGCAGTGGTAGCAGTGGTAGCAGTGGTAGCAGTAGCAGGAACAGTAGTTGAAGCAGCAGGTAGTAGTAGCAGGTGGTAGTGGTAGTGGTAGTGGTAGTGGTAGTGGTAGAGGTAGTGGTAGTGGTAGTGGTAGTGGTGGTAGTAATAGTGATAGTGGCAGTAATAGAAGTGGTAGTAGTAGTCGTCGTAGTAGTAGTAGCGGTGGTAGTAGCAGTGGTAGTAGCAGTGGTAGTGGTGGTAGTAGTAGTAGTAGTAGTAGTAGTAGTAGTAGTAGTAGTAGCAGTAGTCGTAGTGGTAGTAGTAGCAGTTAGTGGTAGTAGTGGTAGTGGCAGTGGTAGTAGTAGAGGCGGTGGTAGTAGTAGCAGTGGTAGTAGTGGCGGTAGTAGCGGCGGTGGTAGTAGTAGCGGTTGTAGCAGTAGCGGTGGTAGCAGTAGCAGTAGCAGTAGTGGTGGTCGCAGTAGCAGTAGCAGTAGCAGTGGTAGCAGTAGCAGCGGTAGCGCTAGCAGTGGTAGCAGTGGTAGCAGTGGTAGCAGTGGTAGCAGTGGTAGCTGTAACGAGCGTGAGGCTGAGGGTGAGCCGAGGGAGAGGAGAGAGAGGGAGAGAGTGAGAGCACACACACACACACTCACTCACTTGACACGACGGACTCGGACYGAGGATCGGACGCAGACACAGTGGCAAGTCACAAAGTCGAAGTCTTGGATTCCGAATGCYGAAACAGCAAGTCACACTGAGTACGAGTACAGCAGCCRAGAACTGSTACGAGACTGGTCCYYGTACCGTAYGGGGAGCCGGTATAAGTACCGGTGACACGTACGGTACCAGGGGCATTTCTGCAAAGGCCCCGAGGGCAGAACTGAAAAATGCAGTATTTGAAAGTGGCGCCCGAATTGCAGCATGGCGCCAGTTGTCCAAAATCCTACAGTACCAAAGGAGGGGTTTGGAAAAAGGGTGCCAGGCCGAAAACAGGATGCAGCCGAAACAGCAAAAGATAGACCAGGGATCGAACCCTGGCGAAGTCCGTAACAGTAGCAGTGGTAGCAGTGGTGGCAGTGGTAGCAGTGGTAGCAGTGGTAGCAGTGGTAGCAGTGGTAGCAGTGGCAGCGGTAGCTCTAGTAGTTGCAGTAGCAGTAGCAGTAGCAGTAGCAGTAGCAGTAGCAGTAGTAGTAGCAGTGGCAGTAGCAGTAGCAGTAGCAGTAGCAGTAGCAGTAGCAGTAGCGTTAGCACTAGTAGTAGTAGCAGTAGCAGTAGCAATAGCAGTAGTAGCAGCAGCAGCAGCAGCAGCAGCAGCAGTAGCAGTAGTAGTAGTAGTAGTAGTAGTAGCAGTAGTAGTAGTAGGAGGAGGAGGAGGAGTGCCAGTAGTAGTACCAGTAGTAGTAGTAGTAGTAGCAACAGCAGCAGCCGCAGTAGTAGTAGTAGTAAAATGGATTAACCACAGCTATCTCCCACTGTTTCGGCTGAGGTGGAGAGGTGGCAAGGAGCTGCACACCAAGCTTTGCCGGTTGCTCTTTTTATCTTTATGGCTGACATCGACAGCCATTGAGATCTGGTAGCACTGTTCACCCGACAATGCGGTTTGTGGCAAATTTTTGTTTTGAGTTTGCCTGTGAAGCGTAGTGAAGGCTTAAGACTAACTTCGCATGATTTTCACCGTGTTTCAATCCACTTACATCTAGTAGATGGAGACACCATCCAATTATATCTGGTAGATGGAGACAGCTCAGTTCATCATAATGGCGATGTCCCTCAAGCCGCCCTGTCCTTTTTCGGCCAGTTAAAGCTTGGCACATTCTAGCCGACAGATATCTCACACCTCACTAAATGTGCATTTCACCTCCGGTGTAGCCTTTGACAGGCTTCTGCAGCTATGAGACTTCTTAACATCAACCTACTTTGCAGAATCCAGTTCAACAGGTGTAAGGACAGCCCCC